CTCATCTCGGAGCGCATGATGAAGCACATGGTTGGGCAGTCCATCTTTCAGCTGGCCGTGATTCTCACCATGACCTTTGCGGGAGACAAGATCTTCGGCATCGAGTCTGGCCGCAAGTACGACCGTCCCGCCGGCGCGACGGGGCCGACCGTGCACTACACGATGATCTTCAACACGTTTGTGTTCTTGCAGCTCTTCAACGAGATCAACGCCCGCCGCATCCACGACGAGCTGAACGTGTTTGAAGGGATCTTGACCAACCACATCTACCTCGGCATCTCCGTGCTGCAGTTGGTGCTGCAGGTGCTCATCGTCCAGTTCGGGTCGCTCGTGTTCAGCTGCACGCCGTTGACGGGGTCCCAGTGGGCGATCTGCGTCGCGATCGGGGCCGTGTCGTTGCCGGTCGGGCTCGTCCTTCGATGCATCCGTCTCCCGGCGTCGTTCACGATGTGCCAGGAAACCACCGTGGTCGAGAAAGTTGCCAGTCCTCGCACCAAGGCGTTGTGGCGCCGCAGTTTGAAGCGCCTCCAAGTCCAGATCCGTGTCATCAAGGCGTTCCAGACGTCGCTGGCGTCGACAAAGGCGCTGCTGCATTAGTACACGTGAAGAAGCGGCAACGCCAGATAGATGCATGAATATACTCGTCAAAACATTATGGGCATCGCGAACTCTCTGGTTTGCACGGGGGTGGTGCAGTCGCGCTAGAGTTCGCTGGAAGGGGGTTCGCCCTCGTCCTTGCGTCGGCGTTGGGGACTTTGTCATTGAGCATGTTCAATCGCTTGGAATCATAAAGTCTTGGGCGCCATTTGTCCTTTCGAGGGAGAGCCACATTGCCCCGAGACTGGACGACCCATGCACAGGTAACATGACATGCAGCGGCAGCCCTGCAAAGAGATTCTCGAGCAGAGGGGCTGGCGTTGGGGGTCGGGGGCGCTATTCCCTAGATGGATGACTTCGTTCCCTTTCGACAGATCCTAAACCAAGCCACTGTAGTCGTTCCGTCGTTGGCCATTCTTGTCTGGGGACTACTGCGCTACCAACAGGGCGATGCATCCCACACGTGAGAGCTTTTCCATGGGTGGAATGGCGGAGGTGCGCGGAAGTCGCCCTGCGGTAAACCGTTCGTCGTATATTTGGTGCGAGATCCAAACGTCGCGATGGGAATGACTTGGAACAGCTTTTGAATGTGCATCCATATCCCCTACTCAACCACGGACCGATGTTCGCAAGCACTGCGCCCACCACCGGTCATGCCGCGACAATCCTCGCGCGTGCCATGTCCAGTTGAATGGCACAACTCTTCGTTGTGCATCGGACGGTTGGTGTCCATCTGCCTGTCGATATTCTGGAGGCTGCTGTACTTTCCCGATTGCGTCGAGCATGATGTCGGCAGTGGCACTCCTTCCCGGCCACGAAGGAAGCAGTAAACCCTCGAAGGCTCCAGCGACGTCAAACGGCGAGCCACCTTCCACCACAACTCGCTGGAGTCCCAAGCCATCTTTACCCCGCGCACAGAGCACAGCCCTATAGGATCGGCATTACAAAGATATGGATCCAATGCGGGGATTGCGCAGGCAACAACGATGCGGAGGCGAAGTTCAAGGAGATCCCATGGCGGGAAAGATCAACCTGTCGTGTGGATGGATGCCTTCTCTCCATCATTAACTTGCCAAGCCTTCCACGGCCGCCTGTCCACTCGCCGGTCGCTGCCACCTCATCCAGATCATGCATCCAATGGGCACTGCATAATGACATATGGGGCGCCAGACCGCGGCCACGTGCACTAAACCTGACCAAGCGGGACATGCATGCGAGTTGGTTGGGGGTCGAAGGTCGTCCAGTGCGTTGTCCAACGCAGTACAATAGCGCTAGACCGTCCCATTGTTCGCTAGTACTGGATCTGCCTCGAGTGTCGCTGCTGAAGTCGTTGGCGCAGTTCCTCTGCCACCAACGACTGGAACGCCATGCGGTGATCAAAACCGTGTAATGGTCGGTGGAACACGTGACAAACACGTTGCTTGTGCTGCACACGTGGACTGCGGCGGGACCAGTGCACCTTCTTCGCCGGAGACGCCCGCTGCTCGCGACTCGGGGGCTGTTGGTGCCCGCCGCCTGGCCACCGAAACATTTTCACAAATTTTCGTAATGGGAGGGACGCTCGAACAGGTACTCGCCAAAACAAGCAAAGTCTCGCCAAAACATGCACTCATCTCGCACTTCATGTGACATTGTCCGGATACCTCGCCCCAGGTCTCTTGCACACGCGAGTGGTAGGGACATCGTCTGTGTTGACCTTTTCGAATTGGTCCATGGTGCGCTCTTCACCATCGACTCGTTGTGTTCCTCACGTCTCGATCGTGTCGGCGATAAAGTCGAGCGGAGTGGGGACGGGCATGCATGCTTTTGCCATTCGGAATTGATTGCACTTCCTTCACTCAAGTGCGAGTTCCCATAAAGTGCGCTCGTGTTTTGTCAGTTGTTGGTCCCTCGCGTGATGGCCATGTCATGGCGGCGCAAAACGCGCGAGTCCATGGAGGGCGTTGCGGCCACACCCGATGCCGCCTGTAGTCTCCGGCTGGAAGAATCCACTAGACGTGTACGATGGCGTGAACGCCCCCAAGGGGAGACCATCCCCCCTTGACATCGTGCTCACATAGCCAGGTCAAACGCGCTCGATACGGCTGGATGTCATGACGTCCATGTCGCAGACAGAAACAGAACGTGCGCCATTTTCGACATTTTTGAATTTGGACGGCGCGTTTCATGGCGACACTCCACGTCCGTGACTTGGTGCGCCTGGTGGAAACGCCAAAGGAGCATGCCGCCACTGCCCTCGCGGAACTCGGCGGCATCGAAGGCGTCGCAAGTGCGCTGAACGTGTCACTCGACAGCGGTCTGGACAACGACAACGCCACCGACCTCGCTGCGCGCGAAAAAACGTACGGGAAAAACTACATTGAACCCGAGCAGCCTCAGACGATCCTGCAGCTCATGTGGCACGCGTTCCAAGACTTGACCATCATCGTCCTGACCGTCGCTGGCGCGATCTCGCTCATCCTCGCGTTCATTCCGTTTCCCAAGTCGACAAAAGGAGAAAATACACGGAACTTAAGTACCGGAGGCGACACCAACACGGCGTGGATCGAAGGCGCGTCCATCATCGTTGCCGTGCTCATCGTTGTCTTCGTCACGGCCATCAACGACTACCAAAAGGAGAAGCAGTTCCGCGCGCTGAACGCGATCAAGGAGGACGAGAAGATCAAGGTCATTCGCAACGGCGTGCCGGCCGAGGTGAGCAAGTTCAGCTTGGTCGTGGGGGACATTGTCCGCGTGGACTTGGGTGACATCATCCCGGCGGACGGGCTCGTGTTTGACGAGAACGACTTGAAGCTCGACGAAAGCGCCATGACAGGGGAGTCTATCTTGCTCAAGAAGGACCGAAAAGAAAAGCCGTTTTTGCTGTCTGGCACCAAAGTCATGGAAGGCGTCGGGAAGATGCTCGTGATTTGCGTCGGCGAGAACTCGCAGGCCGGCATCATCTCAAAGCTCATCATGGGCAAAGGCAAGCGACCAACTGCAGAGTCGTCACCAGCCGTGGAAGACAATTATGCGGCAGTGGCCACTCCCAACGATAAGGATACACCAGTGCTGGCAGACAGGGAAGACGAGGAAGACGACGAAATCGTGTCGCCTCTGCAAGGCAAGCTCGACCGGCTCACGCTGCTCATTGGGAAGCTCGGGTTGGGCACGGCCATCTTTGTCGTCGTGGCACTCATCGTTCGGTTTTCCATCGTCACGTTTGGTATCGACAAGAACGAGTGGAGCAACGAGTACTTGAAGGATTACTTGAACCACTTCATCCTCGGGGTGACGGTGCTGGTGGTGGCGATCCCGGAAGGCTTGCCCCTGGCCGTCACCATCGCGCTCGCGTACTCGGTCAAGAAGATGCTCAAGGACAACAACCTGGTGCGCCACCTGGACGCGTGCGAGACGATGGGCAGCGCCACGACCATTTGCTCGGACAAAACAGGCACCCTCACCACGAACCGCATGACCGTCATGGAGTGCTACCTCGGCCAGCACGAGTTTAGCTCGGCGCCGTCGCTCCGCCTCCAGGCCAGCGCCGCCACCAAGGACATTCTGTGTAGTTCGATCAGCATCAACTCGACGGCCGAGATCCTGCCGCCCAAGCAGGTCGGGGCTCAGCCCGAGCACACGGGCAACAAGACCGAGTGCGCGTTGCTCCAGTTCGCCGCCGACTTGGGCGTGTCGTACGCCGACGTGCGCAAGGCGGCGTCGATCTGCCACATGCTCACGTTCAGCAGCGCCAAGAAGCGCATGTCGGTGGTCGTGCCGCTGTCCGCGACGCGATGCCGCATCTTCACCAAGGGTGCGAGTGAGATCGTGTTGGAGCTGTGCACGTCGCAGCTCCACTTGGACGGGTCCACGGCCGCGTTCTCCGCCGCCGAGCGCAACGCCGTCAACGCCAACATCATCGACAAGTACGCGTCGCAGGCGTACCGCACG